CGACTCCGGAGGTGCCCCAGCGGCACAAAAGAAACAACGTCACCACTAGCAGTACCCTCGCCGCCGCCGGAGGAGGCCGTCCAAGAGTGGGCGACGACGACTGAGCGCTCTGCTCTTCCTTCCCCCTGCCATTGACCTCTCATGGTTGCTCCTCTCCCTCTTCCCACTCTCACCTCTCATATGAAATGGCTACGCGTGCCTCGTCTGGGTGGCCTAGCCTTAGCTGAGCGACACACGGCTTTGGGTCCTGGACAAGACCCGATTGGCGTGTCACCATCCTCAGGGTCACGTGCTCGTGAGGATTGGGGCTGAAGGTTGCTCCCCCCCCCTCTAGTGTCAGTTGCGACCGCCCAAATCCGGCAAATCCCATGGTTCCGCACGCTGCTCGCATGGATGGCGCAACAAGTGTTGGTGCATGGTTGTGTTGTCTGATCCAGATTTGCCATCGATTGCCAGTTGTGGGGGTGGTGCGGGCCACCGGAGCATCCTGAATTAGGATTTTGGCAGTGTTAAGGACCTTCCTCCTCTACTAGGATCTCAGAAAATGGAGGCGACAAACACAGGAGGACCTTAATTTGGTGGTGCTTCTTTAGTACCTTCATTTCGAGCTTCGGGGTGAAAAACATAGGTCCGAACCTAGTCGATTGTACCTGGCAATGGTGGTGTTTTTGCACGGTACGTACCTTGTTGAATGTATTTCTTGGAGTTTTCTCGGGCTTGATCAGGTTGAAAACTCGTGATCCGGCTTTCGATGGTTGGATCCGGCAACGGCGACATGCGTCATTCCCATCGTGGAGGCGTTCTGTTGGAGAACCTTTATCGTATCATATTCCTTGTGTTGTCATGCATGAAATGGTTGATATGATGGTCGTTGTTACATTTCGTCGGTCACTTTGGGGCATTTATTTTCTTCTTTTCTTCTCCGCCAGGCATATCTTCGGTCTCGTATGACTTTGTTATTTGCATTATGTGTATCTGTTGGTGTTGATTGCGCGCATCTTAGTCATGCAGAAGCGGGACGTGTATTCTTTTTTCTTTAATCCTATATTATGACTCAGTAAAAACGCCTTTATCAGAAGAAAAGAAATGTTCACACATAGCCTTACTTCATCTGCAGGCACTGATTGGAGATGCCCCGAAATTCATTGTCACCATCATTGTGACTGCTTTGCCGGCTCCCAATTTCTTCTGCCTGCGTGGTTGGCTCCTCCAAGCGTAGGTGGGACAGCTCACGAGACGTTGAAGTTTTCGCATGCTCGTCTGCGGTCAGGGATTGGTCCTGGAGGATGCGGCTTTCGCTAGGCACCGCCATATTTTACCCGAAAACTGGACTCTGCGGGTTTCCTTTTTTCTCTCGTTTGTACAGTGAGCCTGAACCCCGGAGAAAATCACTCTGCGACAACCGCAAATGCCTTCAAAAAAAAAGCCTGGATGCCAGGCAAGCCGATCGTCGTCATGCAATGCCTGTCAGGCTTATGTCACTGCAGCTGATGATTAACTTAATTAGTGGCTGCTGGGTCGCCAATTTATTTTATTTAAACAAAGGATATATCCACCAACAGCAACGCACTTGTTACTCCAATCATGTACCAGATGTAGGATGGGGCAGTGGCACTACTATCGTAAAGTTTCCATCATTTTCACTCTTCTCAGGTCGTTGCGCAGAGTTTAAGCACATATTTTCACTCTTCTCAGGTCGTTGCACAGAGTTTAAGCACATACTACCAAGCATGGGATCGAGTTTTATAGGGGTAACTTCCGATTTAAAAGATATAGAAAATTCAAAATCAAATGCCCCTCAAATAATGTTTGGGATCTATGCACTCGCACTTGTGTGTCATAAATCCCCTCTTGATCGAAGTACCTTTTGTAAAGATAATATTGTTTGATTATCTTAAGGCTCCCGAAAACTAGCCTCCGCAACTCCGGAGGCCTCCTCGCCGCCATAAAAAACTTTCTTCACCGTTGCCCTATCCACCGGGCGCCACCAGAGGAGGCCTCCAAAGGCTGATGGCGGCGGCCGAGCTTCCCACCCCGACGCTCCCACTTTCCCCTCTCCCTCTTTCTCTCCCATGCCGCTGATCTGTGCTGCATCTTTCGGCCGGTTGCGGGTCCTCCATTTGATGCTGAGTTGGAGAATATCTTTCGGATGGTCATGGCTCCTCCATTGATGCTACGTTGGACGAAATCTCCTCATGGACGCACGATCGTTGCAGCAGCCACTCTTCGGACTCGCCTCTCATCTGATCCTGCGCGAGGTCGCCGGATCCCGGGCTACTCCACCCAAAGGGCGGCCCAAGAGTAGAAGATGGAGCAAGCAGTTGAGGATCCAATGCAGCAGCCACAACGCACTGCAGGAAAGCACTGGTGGCCTTGTAATGCGGGGAGTGGCCGGATCTAGCCTCCCCATGTCCGGCAGCTGCGGCGACATGTTAAGAACCATGGCTACGGTTCGGTTCTATCTAGGTTGGGTCCATGTGGCGACTCACAATGGTTGGGCATCGGTTTGGGGCCTCCATCTTGGATACGGCCTGTGACGGCGCCCTCCATTGGTGGCTAGTGCGGTGAGATGCAATCTACAATGACAACTTGATGCAAAGGGTATGGTTGTGCAGCGGTGATAGTGGAATTCTAGCCCATCGCATGTAGCTGTTGGGATCGCGAAAAAGCCGTGGTGACAATAAATGATTGACTTTGATTTTGTGGTGCTTCTCGAGCTCCGGGTGAAAAACCTAGGCCTGACGCGATTTGGTTATACCTGGCAGTGGTGATGTTGTACATCGTTACCTTGTTGAAAGCATTGCTCAGATATGCTCGGACCCTTTTTTTCAGAGTGAAAATCTAGATTCGGCTTTCATGGTTGGATGCGATAACGGCGGCGCCTGAATGTCGATCATATAAGCATGGTGTCAAAAGATGGTTGGTGCGGATATAGTTGTTGATGTAGTTGGTGCATCGCTTCATGTTTTTTTTTTCTTTTTCCTTGCTTAGGCATAGCTTTGGTCTTATATGACTTTGTTGTTTGTCGGTGTTTTGTGTGTGTTATAGTGTTGATTGTGTGCATCCTAATTATGCAGAGGCTAAACGTGTGGTTATTTTGTTTGCCGCTTCATGCTTAATTTGAGTCAATAAATTCATCCTTCATCGAAAAATTTGATTATCCTAAACGAAAGGGATAATGGCAAAAAAAAAAAGAGGGAAGGAGGGATAAAGCCAATTTGATGCGATGCGAGCGAGACATTAATATCTCCGTACGAAATTGAAATATTAAAATCAGTCAGAGAAGCTTTCAAGACTTCGAACTGACAAGCAGTGGCGCTCCTTCCCCCGTCAACGGCTTTGTCTTCTTCCTTTGCTCTCCTTCCCTCTCCCTTCTTCCTTCCCCAACCTCCCCTCCCCGTTCTGAATTCCCATCTCCTTCTTGCGTTTGCTTGTATATATCACACACCAACACCCTTCAGAGGCTGCGAGGTCGGAAGAAAGAGGAGCCACCTTTGACTCCTCTCTCTAGTGGTTTTTGTGGGGATTTCGGGTGGTACGAGAGGATTAATTAGTGGATTTGTATTCTTGGAGAGGCTGCTAGTTCTTGGAGAGTTTTTCCTTTTCTTGTCCTGAGAGAGATTCATGCCCAGGAGTTCACCCTGAGGAGCTGGTATTGTTCTGTCTTCTGTCTGAGGGTTAGCGTGAGAGGATCCACCTTTGAGTTGACCGGCCAGAATTCTTGAAAGAAATTTTGTTGGTTTTTGCGTGGATCGGTCCTTAGGTTCGTTGATGTTTGCTCAGTTCTACTAGTTGGAAGGGCGGCTGGGGCACCTTGTGTGGAGAGAATTTTAGTGCTTCTCTGAAGAAGCGCGGGTTCAAATTAGCCCCCTTCGTTTCTTGATTTCTTTGGGGGGGATTCGATTTGCTTTCCTCGAGGGAGCTGCCTTCAGTCATTCTTATTTTTTGATGGATTGGATAGTTTATCCTCTGTAAAAGAAAACCACAAGCTTTGACTTTCAATCATTCTTGGGAGTTGGGACTGGGAAGGTTTGGATTGGAAGGGGATATCTATTGGTCCTCCTTTATGGTAAACTCGATCTAGATTTCTTCTGTTGCCTCAGTTTCTTTTGGCACTCCCTGTGCTTTCTTGTGGAGGAGTGTGGCCTGTTTTCCCAAGAATTTGAGAGAAAGGAGGGAACCCAGTATTTTCTAAGAGGCCAATGGCGGTGAGTGGTTCATCTCTACTTTTTCTCATACCAAGTCATATTCTTAGTGCTGGAGAAATCTTTAGTTGTTGGTGTCTTGGTCCCTTGGGCTCCTGGTAAAGCATAATGCGTTTTCATTTGATGGACGGCATATGTGTTATCTCTTTCTTACGTTAGCTAATTAATTAGGCGTAGAGAAGCTTCTCATTTAAGCTTAGTTAGGAATATACTCTTAGTTATACCATTTCTTCTTCAGGTTGGAGTAGTATTTTCATGTTTGGGACATGTTTGTGCAAGTTCGGTCTGACACATTTCTGTCCGGGAACCGCAGGGAGTCATCTATATTGGTCAGCAAATGCTGTGACACGTGGATACAATCATCCTGGCCTAGTTAACACAAAATACTAAAATCTAATTTTTGGGCTTGAGCCAGATTAGTGGCATAACCTATACTGATTTGAATTGCCAACTAGCTTATGCAATCTTCTTATTAATGCAATTCGGTTAGCATGCATCATGAAATACATAGTTCTTTTGTATGAGCATCTATCAGTTGACATCATTGCTGAAATTTTCCAGCATTTACATTTTAAGGATTTCAGTTCTAGTTATAGTTACTGTAGAATAATAATAATCTCATGTGTATACTTGTTTAAGTCCTCAGCATAGTTTTTTTAAGGGGAAATCCTCAGCGTAGTTGCAACGTTCTGAAAGATTTATTTGTGTTTGTAAAAATGGTAATGGATGATAACCGATGGATTGTTCATTTCCTTGTGAACCATAGGTCATGGTAGTCCTGAAAACGATGTCAAGATGTATACTAATTATCTCACGTTGTTTAAACAGCAACCACGCATTCCCGCATTTGGGGACTGGGAGAACAGCGAGGACGTCCCTTACACACAGAAGTTCGAGGGCGCACGGAAGAACAAGAAAACAGGCGTTTACTCCAATCCAAATGAGCCAGGACATCAGCAGCCCGACCCCCCTCGCAGGTCACCGCTGAACCCATCAGCATATACACCTGAGCCCCGAGAACAGGCTCCCAGGACTCCATTACATGGAAGAAGGTCTGGAGCCGACCCCCATCACCGTGAACCCGCGCCACGAAGGCATGCAAATCCTCCGCGGGAGCAAGGGGGGAACGGTGGCAGCGCGCCCAGAAGCCCTTACAGAAATGCTGCAGGTTCTGCTTCGCCAATGCAGTCAAACAGTTCAGCAAAGCCGAGGAACAGGGCAGCTGGAATGCACACTCCAGAGAGGAGGCCTTCGTCGGAAGCGCAGGGCCAGCAAACTCCTGGAAGGGGCAGGACGAGGCAGAGCAACCAAAGCTACAATGTACTACCACATTCTATTCCTTTGTTTCTCTTCTTTCTTATTGGTCCGTGAATATATGTGTCTGGACTTTGGAGATAATGAGCTGTTTGCTTTTGCATTTCTGAATCCAGCCTGACGATGAAGTGGCTGTTCCACCATTTGGTGAGTGGGATGAGGCGAACGCGGCATCAGGCGAAAAGTATACGGGTATCTTCAACAGGGTGAGGGATGATAAACTATCGCCCGACTCTTCTGCCAGGCAGCAGTCATCTGGCAATCGCAAAGACGAAAATAAGGTGCAACAGGTATGTAAAAGCAACTCTTTGAGTAAGCTGTCCTCAGCTTCTGCTACCATCGGTTTGCTTATCTTTGCTTGACTTCAGAATTTCGACTGCATATCACTTATGCAAATTGGAAAAAAAATATCATGAATGCATTTTCATAAGGGAATTGGTAGCTTTACTATCATGTAGTGTATACATGGCAAAATAAAATAGGAATAAGCAATTTGGTAATAGAGTTCTGTGGCCGTCAGCAAGACAGCAGGCAATTATGTTTGTATTCTAATCACAATTTCTTGCAGCACATCTAGCAGAATAAAAATGTCTACAAAATGTGCGAATGCTGCTTGAATAAATTGATCAAGTACCACAAAACAGCCCAGTCACATGATGTTAATCCTCATCCTCACTCTAAACAATGGGTACTTCATGCATAAGTATTGCAATGATGATTCATAAGGACCTTTTAATCCACTATACGCTAGGTCGCTAGCAGATGAAATAGTAACCTTTTGTGAAAATAATCTTTAAAAATAAATAGTGTTTTTTCTTTTCGGGGAATAAATAGTGTTGTTAGCAACTTCAATGTGTATGGTACAGCCAAATTCTTACACAATTTATCATACTTAATATGCACACTTGTTATACTAGTAAAAAATGATAATATTTTGTGCAATCTGCTTTATTTGTATTGGTTATTACGGCCTTATGGGTGATCTCAATAATTTGGAGTTTAAACATAATGCTATGAGTGATGTCATTATTGGATCACCACTTTTTGCATAAAGGCAAAAAAATGTGTTTGTATCTTTCTAGTGGACAATATGCTCAGCACAAATAGCATTAACTGTTTCTATTTCATTTGCCACATGATATTTCAAAGACATTTTTCCGTTGACTGAACTTTCCCTCTTTTCTCCAGACATGTCCTTGCTGCATACTTTGACAAAATGGGAATACGATCACAGAGAGTTCTGATAAACTTCCTGGGTTACTTGTGGAACAAATTGTCGTTCTTCTGAAGAATTTGTCAGCAAACTATATATTCATGTATATTTTTCATGCTTATTAGTCATTACTATACTACTGGTGTGAGTGTGTACCTATGATTGCATTGTTCTATAATTTATGTTCTATGCTTATTTGGAACATACATATGATGCCATTGAGATGTGTGGATTGTGAAGTATGTATGCCGTGAGCAGTTTTCCGTGTTTTTTTTTCATTTCCATACCCCTCCCTAGCTGGGAGTTAGGTTCCATTACCACAATGATAACGGAACAGAAACGAGAAGTTTGCACATTGTTCGGAGCGAGATTATATGTATATCTGATCGGTTGCGCTGTGATTCATTACCGTTGCACTAAAATCAAGTACAAAATTCTTGTAGATTGTATTAAACCCCCTGAGTTAACCCCATATGTTTGTTCCCTCGCCAAATGGATACCGCTGTTTGAATTTTTTATGTCGGTTTTGTTTACAAGAGCATAAAAGTCCGAAAAAAGTTTGTCCGTACCCCACTGTTTCTATTTTTGCTACTGCTGAAGAGTGATTTTAAACTTGCTGAATACCATCAAGTTTTCTAAAGAGCTTCTTGTGGAGAAAAAGTTAACAAGATTGTGAGATTTTTTATAATAAATAACATTTGGTATGGTTGGCATTTTACATAAATTAAGAACCTAAATTGCCATAAAAAGGGAGAATAACAGAATTTGAACTATCCCCAGAAACAGGTAGTATATAATTAACCCAGAGTATAATAGGAACAGTTGTATACATTTATATACCTCCTTTGGACAAAATTTACATACTTACTGATGCTTTACACATAAGCTAATCTGGGAACATGTTGTGCCAGTGGGTAAAACATTATCAGATTCAAAATTTTGATTTCTGTTGGAGAATCTGTTACTGTAGGTATTGCCTCGACAATTAGAATCTACTTTGCTCACCACTGGATGGCACCCTGTTCTGCAATCCTCCTTGCATAGGCAGGAGTGGCTGCTGGGGGTAGCTACCTTAGCTTCCTTATCGGCAGGGAGCGGCTGAAGAGCTCCTCAACCTCGGTCGCCTCCAAGTTCAGCTGATCCAAAATTTCCATCTCCTCTTTGCTCAAACCCTGAAAGAAGTTCATCACATCCTGTTTGACCTCCATGATGCCATCTGCCAACCTCTTAACCAGTGTCTCCTCCTCCCTCTCCAGCTCCTTGACCTCTCCCTCGATCTCCCCTTCGATCTCCTTTACCTCATCAACAATGAGCTTCTCCCCTTTCTCAACAGTCCTCTCGATTCTATCCGCAAGAGGAGGCTCAGCACCACAGGTGTTGTCTGTCCTGATAAATGTGGAGAAGTCCCGCCCTACGCTTTTCGCAGCCCTTTCTAGCTCGGGGACTATTGTCTCAGGTAATTCCTTGCTTCTTGTGTACACAACAGCGCCACCATATCCATCCCATGCGTCATTTCTTCCACGGTAGTATACAAATATGTAGTCATCGTCCTTGTTCTCTATTTTCGATGAGAGAATGTACCTACAGCCAACAAATGTTCAGCTGATAGACTCAAGTACTACAGCAATGGTATAATGTCAGAGTGTGTTGGGGAGGGACATACCAGTCATCTTGATAGTGCAGGTACTCGTTGTCATGGTTATACAATATTGCTGGTTGTGAGGGATCCTGCACGAACCGCTGCACGGCCCCCCTGGTGAAGAAGCCGGAGTCGGGGGTGGGAATTCTCCATGCCAAATTTGCAACAAGCCTGTCTCCCTCGAGACGAAACTCGTGAAGCTGGCAATCGAACGTGTCAAAAGTAGGATTTAGGCCACTTGAAATGTACCACTTGCCTCTAAAATCTGCCATGTTGAAGTTCTTGACCAGGGCAGATGGATCGGGGACAGGGAACTCCCCAACATCAGACTTTTTGGGGACACATTTTTTGCGTGAAACGGCGCACTCGTTGAATTCATCGACCACGCTGTTCTCGAACAGATCCCCACATTTGATCTATGGGATGACAAAGCACAAGAAAATGTTATTTTTTTTTCCGGGGCATGGAGCTGGATCCATGGTTCTGGAACACTGAATTACCTGGCATTCAGTCTCGTCAGGTCGATTGTTACACGTATTTAAGCATGCCACATTTGCTGCACATGATGGGTTGGCTATGCATTTTGCCAGCTCGATCCTGAAATTGGTACCATTTTGGTTTAAGTGCGGAAGACATGAACATAATAGATCTGCATAACTTAATTGTTCTTTCTAGTATGGAAACAAGAAATTTGGGTTGAATTCAACAGAATAAACCGTATTGCGACATATTCCGGCTTGTGTAGGGTCACACCTGCATTCCTTGAGCAGGCAAGTGCATGTCTTGAGAGCATCAGTGGCACCGGCAGAAGGGACTAGCAGAACTACACATGCCGCCAGCCCTGTCACCGTGACCAGTTGCAGCTTGCTCCAGCTCTTGATGGTATTGAAAACATCTGGTACTTGCAGCAATGTGTGTACCTTAATCTGTCAAATGCAAAAGAGAAACAAAATCATGTTGCTTTGTTTGTTGTTTCCTTAATCCAAAAAAAAAAAAGGAAACGGAAAAGCATCATGTCTGTCTCAGCAACATAACAAGAAGTGAAGCGAACTTGTTATCCAGAAACGAGCAATCAGGAATCACCTCGGACGATCGAGCGGTGCTTATGTGCAGGTGATCGGTCCTCCATAGGCTAGCCCTGACGCAACACCGGTGGAAGTTGAGGGTGGTGCGGCCCCTGCTGCCTGCACCTCTGGACCCAGGACCGTGGAGAATGCTGGAGGAGGAGCCTTCGGCTGGGAAGACGTGTTTAAAGCACTGCCGCGGCAACATTTGCGCAGCAGTCTGCGTTTCCAGAGAAAATTTTGGATTTCAGTATGACAGAAAACACACTGCAAAGAACCTACGTGCATCAGGCTGGACGATAGTGAAACATAAAATCACAATTCTGGAGACAAGATCCTTCATCTGTTCCATAAACAATTGGTTACGTTTTAGTGCTGGAGATTGCACAAGAACAACTCTGACACTGGTCATTTCCAGAAAATAGGATGAAGAGAAAAACATCCCCAACTCAGTCGGTAAGCCCCGAGCTAAGGAATCAAGCACTTATCCACACCAGATTTCTTTCCGGGAGAAAAATGAAATCCACGGTCAATCGAATCACTCCCAAAAGAACGCCCGAGAAAGTACGAAATGCGGAAATGGCAAGAGAAGGCAGGCGAGAGGGCGGCGGGGAGAGGAGGCCGAGAAAGAACCTGAGCCGCCGCCGCCGCCGCGACGCCGACCAGAGCGTAGGAGACGGAGATTGGGATAGTGCGGATGGATGGATGGATGGATAACACGGTGAGGCAAGCTTGGCTATGGGAAGAAGCGCGCGGGAGCGGGTGGGAATGGAGTGGAGAGACGTGGCCGACGTGTCCCGCGGAGCACCAGAGGCACGGACCGGGTGGAGCTCCGATCCGATAACCGCAAGCGGGTCTGTCAGATCCCACTTGATCGATCCACTGGGAGAACTAAGAACAGGAACGATATTTTTTTCTTTCGAATACGCGTGGGTATCATATACTGTAAGAGAAAGAACATGGGAACAGAGCCTAGTCTATCGTCGAAGTTATAACAACAAACTATATCCCCATCCCATCATGGTTCAAGTCCCGGTGCTCGCATTTATTCTGGATTATTTCAAGATTTTCAGCGATGCGCATTTAGTGGGAGGAGACGTTCCCGTCGACGATGATGTGCCTACGGCGGCTTCGTAAATTTCAAGATGATATGACGGCTCAGTCTTTTGGAGGTGCTCATAGAGGTAGGGTGTGCGTGTGTGCGTTTATAAGGGTGAGTGTATGCGCGTGTATATGAGCGCTTGCGTGTCACTCACGTACCACGTTACCTAGTAACATTTCCTGACTTGCCCACCTATCTAAAGCTACCAGCATCGGCTGAATAAGTCTAACGATGGGGTCCCACACGGACTCACCTGGAAACCCGGCGGTCCGACGGAAGCCGTGTCCGTCGCCGCGGTGTGAACGCCGCATGGCGCCGCTCGGGCTCGCGGGGTGAATAGGCGTTTTAAAACTTTTACGAATTTGGCTTTATACTAATACAGAATTAAACTAAACCGATACTTTTCGAGCACAAATCCTAAATATGCTAGGCTCAAGTACCAACAACCTATACTAAACAAGATAGGCACTTAAGGAAACTAGCAAGCACAAACTATATCACAAGATATGAAAATGTATATAGGAACAACTAAGCAATTCAACTAGCACAAGATATATCAATATGAACAAGTATGAATTGCAGAAAGTAAAGAGTGTGGGTATCAGATAACCACAAGTGAGTCGGGGACGCCGATTTATCCCGAAGTTCACACTCGTGAGAGTGCTAATCTCCGTTAGAGCGCTGCCGAAGCCAAAGCTCCGGTGCGTCACCAAGTGACTCACCGTATTCTCCCTTTTGAGTCACCCCCGACGGATGAGCCTCGGTTCACTCGGGGTTGGTCTTGAAGGCGACCACCACACCTTTACAAACTTCTCCGGAGCACACAAACACGAAAGCTTCCAGAGGAACTTGACCACCTAGGCCACTTCACACCCTTCCTCGGAGGACACCACAAAGGGAAGCTTCCGGAGGAACCTTGGCCACCTAGGCCTCTTCACAAACTTCTCAATATATCACCAAACCGTCTAGGAGGCGGACGCCTCCAAGAGTAATAAACTCACGGGCTCTCACTCGAACAAATCGATGCGGGGAACTCAAACCAATGCAACAAATGCAACAAGCAACAAATGCTCAACTCACCCTCTCAATCTCACAAGATGCACTCTCAAAAGTAGGAGATTGAAGAGAGGGGATGCAATGGATATAATCAACAAATGACTCCAAGGTTCCTCCACAAATCCCCCTTCACATAGAGGGGAGATAGGGGTTTGGGAGAGGTGGTAAGAGGCTCAAAATGATGTTTAGAAAGTGTATGAACAACCCCCAAACCGGAGGGGGGACGGAGCCCTTAAATAGCCAAACCCCAAAACTAGCCGTTGGGGCTTCAACGGACACTTCCTGGACACCCCGTGCCCACGGGGTCCCGTGTGCATGGGGACCCCGTGCCCACGGCCTCAAAACCCCGTGCCCACGAGGTACCCAGTACAGCATGCATCAGCTCACTAAAACATGCATAACTTTGGCATACGAACTCCGAATTCGATGGTCTTGGGCTCATTTTAAAGCTATGGAAAAGCCCAAGGTCCTCACATGGAGAACCACACAAGATTAGGAAGAAAGAATGATGCAAATCATGAAAAGGTTTGAGCTCTCTACATTCGAAGTGATCAAGCTACTTGCCGGAAAGTCCTTCTTGATAGTACGGCTATCAAACCTATAATCCGGTCTCCCACCAAGCACCATGAGACCGGAAAAACTAGGAAAACCTAGCTAAGTTATACCTTTGCCTTGCACATTCCACTTGAGCTTGATGATGACTTTAATGCTTGCCTCAAGTTGAAATCCTTTTCTTGTCACAATCACTTGGTGAAGATATTCGAAATGCTTCCTCATATTGCAATGAGGGAAGCCTTAACTTAAGCTCATCTTCACATGCACATTATCACGATGTGGATCGCAAGCTCCAAAGCATATAACCTCTGGCTTCTCATCTTACACTTGAACACCTTGAACCCGATGACCATCACCACTTGATGTCATCCACACTAGGCTACTTGAAATCATTCCTTTTGATGCAAGCCCAAGAGAAACACCTAACCCAAATAGACATAACAAACACATAGTATGGGTTAGGTAACAAAGCACAATTCTTAATTACTTACCATACCACTAGATAACTTGATCCCACGTGGTACAAATATTGCACTTTGAGAGTTGACCATCTCGATAATCTTCGAGCTTCATCTTGGTCAACTAACATCTTTACTTCATGCCCCATCTTGGTTTCTTGGAAGCCACAATGAACTCTTCATTTCCCTTCATTGCTTCAAGACTATATCACCAAAGACTCTTCCATGACCATATCAAATTCCACTATGAATATCATCTTGGTCACCACATCCTCTCCTAAAACTCCATCGTAATCTCTTGAGAGGCATAATGAATTCTTCACTCCAGTTGCTTGCTTCAAGACTTGATCAACCCAAACCCAACATATGAGCTCACCATGATCTTGTCTTGAAACTATAACTTGAATTCTTCTCTTTAATTATTCTCTCAAGCCCTTGATCCTTAAAATCCCAAATATGTTAATCTTTGAGTCCAATGGAATCCAGCTTGAACAAATTTGGTTGGACATGGAAATCAATCTTTTTTGGTGAATACGCATTGTTGCGTATCATTTCATTGATAGGGGCGGGGCGAGTACAGGGTGCAACTCTAAGGGGCGTACACCGAAGGCGTCCCAAAGAGTACAACGTGAGCAGAGGGAAGAGGGTGTTCAGCCTCAGTACAGGTGCGTTCAGGTTATAGGAATGATGGATGCTAGCCTAGTTGCTCCAGCATGTGCCCATAGGCGGGCCTCGTCTTTGATTATGCGAGCTAGCTCATCATTCGAAGGCCGGGCATTATCAAACACGGCGGCGTTCTGGTGCTTCTAGATGGACCAAGCGGTGAGCACGATGAGCGAATTCGTCCCCTTGCAGAGGAGAGATGGAGCGGAGCTATTGATCTTGGACCAACAGTCGAAGAAGTCGTCGGTTGAGCTTGGCGTGGAGATTGGTAGGCGACACCATGAGAGGATCTTGTGCCATGTTATCTTATAACCCACAAGTGTAGGGGATCAGTTGTATCCTCTTTCGATAAGTAAGAGTGTCAAACCGAACGAGGAGCTAAAGGTAGAACAAATATTCCCTCAAGTTCTATCGACCACCGATACAACTCTACGCAAGCTTAACGTTCGCTTTACCTAGAACAAGTATGAAACTAGAAGTACTTTGTAGGTGTTGTGGGATAGGTTTGCAAGATAATAAAGAGCACGCAAATGAAAACTAGGGGATGTTTAGATAAAGTAACAATTAAGTTAGTATAGCGAGTGTGGGAAAGTGGTGGTAGGAGTTGCGGAATTGCCCTAAGCAATTGACTACGTTACTAGACCGGTAGCAAGTTTTATGTGGGAGAGGCCACTACTAGCATGTCATCCCTTACTTGGAATTCTATGCACTTATGATTGGAACTATTAGCAAGCATCCGCAACTACTAACGTTTATTAAGGTAAAACCCAACCATAGCATTAAGATATATTGGCCCCCCTTCAATCCCGCATGCATCAATTTCTATGCTAGGGTAAAGCTGCTATCACCCTTGCCCTCCAATACATATATAGTCCTATCAACATACAACTAACCCTATGGTGTGATCCACGCGCACGCTCATTTGATAGGCACCAAAGAACAACAACATAACCACAAGCAAATTGAACCAATCACTGATAGGACAACAAAAATCTACTCAGACATCATAGAATGGCAACACATCATTGGATAATAATATGAAGCATAAAGCACCATGTTCAAGTAGAGGGTACAACAGGTTGCGGGAGAGTGGGCCGCTAAATATAGATGGGGGAAGGTGATGAAGATGTTGGGGAAGATGACAGGGGTGTTGGTGTAGATCGCCGTCACACGATGATTGCCCCGACGGTATTCCGGCGCTACTGGGAGAGAGGGGGAGAGAGCCCCCTCCTTCTTCTTCTACCTTGACCTCCCCCCTAGATGGGAAGAGGGTTTCCCCTCTGTTCCTTGGCCTCCATGGCAACCGAGGGGCGGGAGCCCCTCCGAGATTGGATCTCTCTCTCTCTCTCTC